TGTTATTATCATTCTGAATATTCCCATTTCATGTTTGTAGAGTTAGCTTGACTGTTATGGAAGCCAGCGGGACAGTCGCTTCCTGCGCAACAGTATTTGTGTTTCTTCCTTGGGGACTCAGAATTCCTATTATGTTTATATGTTTATTATTCATTTTACTATATATGTTTCTTATATGTTAAATGACATATAATTCCCATGATATGTCGTCGCACGGGACCAGTATTCTTGATTGTTTCTTCCCTGGGGACTCCTGCTCTTGAGGCCCGTGCCAATGACACATATTATTATCTGTTTTAGAATTAACAACTTTTGTAATTATATTATTATTGTTGTTATCATCGTGGTTAATTCATGGGTGTTTTCATACCATACACCCTTATGAAACAACACTAGGTACGCTCCCTTGACAATCAGTATTCATTCCTTAGGGACTAATTCTGTCTTCGAGATCCTCGTAGCAATGTTTTTTTTTTCTCTCTCTCTTAATTAACACATTTAACAAATACTGTAACCTTGACTTTTAATCGTTTTAAAACTCCCAATGCATATTACCCTTCTATTGTTGCATGCATAGTATGCAAATACGTGCGTGACTTTTGTAATTATATCATTCGTATCATTATTATCACTTCATGGGTGTTTTCATAGCATACACCTCATGAAACAACACTAGGTCGCTTCCCTTCTCCACAAGGAACGGAATTTTAAACTTACGTTTTTTTACTTAGGAACTAATCTGTTTCAACTGATTTAACATTTAAGATTATTGAAGAACCATGCATGCATGTGTGAACATTGCAGTTATTCATGAATATTATAGTACTTGACCTTTTATAATGAATTTTAAAATGTCTCTATTGCTTATTATTCTTTCGCATATATAATTAATATAACTTATGTGCAACAATTTTTTGTATATCCCTTTTCATTGTGTTAAGCAGTCGTTCTCGCCTCATAGAGAATACAAAGATTCCCTTCATCTGAAACAAGGAACGGTTGCCTTCACTGTTGTGAAACTCACATCATACCTTCTCTTCAGAGCCTCTTATCCGTTGATATCATTCGTTGTGTTCAGTCCTAGGACCCGAATTCCGTTCTGAGAAGACTCACGAATATGATGCTGTTATTAGTTTGTTTGTTTTTTCTTTCTTTTTTTCTTAGTAAAAAGAATTAGTCGCTTTCGTTCCTTCCCTTTCGCAGCGGGAACTAATTCTGTCCATAGACTGACAAGTATCAGTGTTTTAAATTTAGCAAGTTTTATAATTATATATAATGATGATTTTTAAACTACGACTGCAACCATTATTATTTTTTGTTATCACTCTTATTAATTCAAGGGCGTTTTCATACCATACACCTTATGAAGCAACACTAGGTACGCTCCCTTAACAGTTAGGATTCATTCCTTGGGGACTAATTCTGTCTTCGAGATCCTCGTAGCAATGTTTTTTTTTTCTCTTAATTAACACATTTAACAAATACTGTAGTGTTAGTTGTTACCATTGTTAAGTCATGGTCATTCTCACACCTTGCACCCTTATGAAACAACATTGGATATGCTCCTTTCTTGACGAGTAATTCAGACCTCAGGGACTAGTTCTGTCCCCGAGTTCGTAGCAAAGACCACTATTCTTTTCCTTTTAATTAACACATCTAACAAATACTGTAATCTTAAGTTTTAATAGTTTTAAAACTCCCAGTGCATATTACCCTTTTATTGATGCATGCATAGTATGTGCATGTCTTTTGTAATTATATTATTGTTATCATTATTATTACTTCATGGGTGTTTTCATACCATACACCTCATGAAACAACTCTAGATACCCTCCCTTCGCCAACAGGAATGGAATTTTAAACTTACGTTTATTACTTACGAACTAATTCTGTTTCAACTGATTTAACATTTAAGATTATTAAAGAACCATGCATGCATGCGTGAACATTGCATTATCCATAAGTCTATCAGTTCATATTCGTTCACCTTTACAATTCAATTTCTTGTTCTGAAGTGCAACCGCCCATTTTATAACTATAGTACTTGACAAATAAAAAGGAAGTATCTCTATTATCGTTCTTTCGCATATTTATTTAATGTAACATGTGCAATATTTTTTTTGAGTATTGTATATTCCTTTTCATTATGTTAAGCAGTCGTTCTCGCCTCATAGAGAATACAAAGATTCCCTTCATCTGAAACAAGGGACCGGTTGCCTTCACTGTTGTGAAACTCACATCATACCTTCTTTCCAGAGCCTCTTATCCGTTTACATCGTTCGATGTGTTCAGTCCTAGGACCCGAATTCCGTTCTGAGAAAGGCTCTCGAATATGATGTTATTAGTTTTTTTTTTCTTTTTCTTTTCTTTTTCTTAATAAAAAGAACTAGTCGCTTTCGTTCCTTCCCTTTCGCAGCGGGAACTAATTCTGTCCATAGACTGACAAGTATCAGTGTTTTAGAATTAGCAAGTTTTGTAATTATATATAATGATGAAAAACTACGACTGCAACCATTATTATTGTTGTTATCAGTGTTATTAATTCATGGGTGTTTTCATACCATACGCCCTTATGAAACAACACTAGGTACGCTCCCTTGCCAGTTAGGATTCTTTCCTTAGGGACTAATTCTGTCCTCGAGATCCTCGTAGCAATGGCAAACATTGTTTTTTTTTTATCTATTTTAATTAACACATTTAACAAATACTGTAATCTTGACTAATAATCTTAAAGCTCCCAATGCATATGACTTTATTGTTGCATGCATAATTTGCGAATACGCGCGTGTCTTCAGAACACTTATTATTATCATTATGCTAAACATTGTTTTCTCTTTTAACACATTTAAAAAATACTGTTATCTTGCCTATCGATAGTTTTATAAACCACAATGCAACCCCCTACTTTCTTTATCTATTGATTGTTATTCCTCCGCATATTTATTTGATATAGTAGTTATGTGCAATAATTGTACTGAGGAGTGCTTGTATATCCCTTTCCAATGGATCAGGGTTGTGTGGAAACCAGTCGGTGTCGCTTTAGACTTTATCGAAACGAAATTGGCCTCCACTTTATCTTCGGAACAGTTGCCTTCGCTGTTCCGAAACCCAAGTCATCCTGCGTATCCTGAACCTTTTTATCGGTCGAGGGTATTCGTTGCGCTCATTCCGGGGCCCCAGATGCTGTCTTCAAGGGCCTTATGGACATGGCACTGTCATCAGTCTTTCAATTCTGAAATGTCTCTACTGATTATTATTCTGGTGCATGTTTATTTAATATGTTATGTGCAATATATATATATATATATATATATATATATATATATATATATATATATATATATATATATGTGTGTGTGTGTGTGTGTGTGTGTGTGTGTGTGTGTGTGTGTGTGTGTGAACGACATACCCTTTTCACTATGTTAAGTTCATATGAAAAGCAGTCTTTCTCGTTTCATAGATATTATCAAAATGAAAAATCCATTTGTATCTTCGGAACAGTTCGTTACCTTCACTGTTATGAAACTCAAATTATATGTCATCTCTAAAACCTCAAATCCGTTAAATATTATCTGTAGTGTTCTTCCCTAAGCCTCATGAATATGATGATGTTCTCAGTTTTTAGTCTGAACGTTGCTGAAACCCAAACAGAAAACGTTCTTCACGCAGAAAGTTTCGATAATTAAACCATCAGATTTGTTTATCTGAATTAAACAATGTAGGGATGGGATGTCGCAGAAATTAGGATATACTGCGATTATAGTTTTTTGTTTTTTTTTTTTTTTTTTTTTTTTTACATGTTTTACACATTTTTTTTTTGACTTTTTGAAGTTCAGACTCTTTGTACGTTAGTTTAATAAGTCAAAATCACATTGAGAATAAATGTATTATTTATGTACTAGCAAGATGGTATTTACTTCTTTGTAATGATTTTGTTTTATAAAGGTATATGCAATATGTGAAATGCGATTTTTTAAATTATTTATTATTATGTATGATGTATGTTTCTCATCATAAGAACTGCCAAAACTGTAAGGCACTTCTTGACATGTGTTGGATGTGGTATGTAATATGATGACATGTTTCTTATCATATATGTTATATCTTATATGTTTCACATCAAACCTCGATGCTGCAAAACCGGTGAAATAATGTTCTAAGAGAGATTATCAAATTTATTACCATAAGTGAATGTAAAGTGTCAAAGGAGGACTATGTGAAAGACAGGTATTTTTTGTTATATATATATATATATATATATATATATATATATATATATATATATATATATATATTGAATAACTTTATCAATCAATTATTAAACTTTTATGTTCTAGTATTATCCTCTTTGTACTTAATTGTTTTGTCCTTGCAAGATGCAATCCTTCTCTAATAGAATGTTTTGTTATCTACTTTACATTTCAACCATCATTTAGTCATTATTATGTATTATACATGTATGAATATTTTTTATTGTTACCGTTTTCTTTCACTTAAGTTTGAAGTACATTTGCATGTCATTTTCATTACAAACATTTGAAACATGTAAAATCATCACAGTTATGTATTTCCAGAGAAATTTTCGTGATGACTTTGTCACAGGAAAAAGTAATGTTAACAGTTATTGTTATGTCAATACAACAATTACTTTATAATGCCACTATGTCTACTTTGTATTTCATATATATTGTTATATATATTATATATATATATATATATATATATATATATATATATATATATATATATATATATATATATATATATATATATATATATATATATATATATATATATATATAGAGAGAGAGAGAGAGAGAGAGAGAGAGAGAGAGAGAGAGAGAGAGAGAGAGAGAGAGAGAGAGAGAGATGCTATACCTCATGTGCAACTTCAATTTCTAAATGTGACTGTTTCAAAGATGAATATGAGTTCAGTTTCCAAGTATGACTCCAGTCTCCGAGGGTGATGTCAGAGGGCACAGAGTGCGACTTCAGTCTGCGAGGCTCCAGGAGACTCCAGTTACATGCACGGGGTGAGTGCCACTCCTGTGTCCAATGTGATATACTGTACTAAACGGCGAGGCAGTCAATATGGTATATTTGAAAGAATAAAATGTGCAGGTGCTTGCCGAGTACCTTAGAAGCCACGGAGCACAAGCGCATCCCAGTGTATGATCAACCACAGACGATCTTATCAAAATGCTTTGCTTTCTCCAATTGTCTCGCGGGTCCGATCTCTCAACCGCCTTATTTCTCCCTCAGCATCGCAGAATCCACCTTGGAATGCCGCGCTCCAGCCTGAGACGCGAATCCAAGGCAGGAGAGAACACTTGGGCATCACCTCGGGATTTCAGCGTCCATTCAGCCCTGAAAAATATGCCCGAATGCGAGCCTTGTTTCCGCCATCACTTCAGGCCATCAAGCTTGACATCTGGGAGAGTCTGAAGCGTCTTCCTCTCCAGCCTCTGAAGCCACATTTCAGGTCGAGTTTACGCTCTTGCCTGGAATCCTGAAGTCTGACAAGCTGCATCCCTTCTGCTCCCTAACGCCTCTGCAGTCACCCTCGAGGAGGATAGTCATCCCAGAGTGCATGTAGAGTATTACTCCTTCACTCGAGCTGAAATGTCATATTCGATCCTGAGACGTCACACTTAAAGAGGTCGTAGCCCCACTGATGCAGGCCGTGCCCGCCTGCCGAACTGCATTTATTGTTTCAGTCAGTTATATGCATATATATATATATATATAATATATATATATATATATATATATATATATATATATATATATATATATAGAGAGAGAGAGAGAGAGAGAGAGAGAGAGAGAGAGAGAGAGAGAGAGAGAGAGAGAGAGAGAGAAGAGTTTAAATGTCGAGTAGGCATATGCTGTATCCTGTAGGGATATTTTTTTTCCCGAATATACATCTTTTCACTACAATCTGGTTATTACATAATGGAAGAATCTTTAACTGTACTTTTTCTGAATGTATTATTTTTCAATATGTCAACAACAAAGATGTTTCTATATTTTACATTTCACTTTTTTATGCAATAAATTTCACACGAGAAAGTTGGGTTTCCTTATCCTGCCTCCGAAAGTTCAAAGAGGTGAACAAATAAGTAAATATGAAATGAAATAATGAAAGCATAAACTAGAATAGGAATTCAAAAATACAAATCACATCTATGCTTTCAGCTTTGCAAATGTATGGTATAAACAAAACATATCATGTATGATAAATGATTTGATTCTAGTATCTCCACCATAATTTATCCTCGTGGAAAAATGGTAAGATGATTAAAAAAATAAACGTGCTAATCAAAAGGCATATAGTGCTATGGTGAAGGACTGTGACAAAAAGGGTAACGATTAGGATAAAATACAATAGATGTCACACGTTATAAAGCGCTACTGTTAGTGAGAAGGGTAAAGAGGGGGAAGCAAATAAAGTACGGCGGGATTAGTAAAAGGAAAGGGTTAAAGGCACAGGGTGTGGATGGGAGGGAGGACTGCGAAAGAGCCATTATGAAACAATGGATAAGAGTAGAAATGGATATTAGAGAAAAGGGAGGAGAGGAAGCCGGGGAATGAGATGAGGGAACAGGGAAGGTGGTGAAGTATGAGGAAGAATGTCAGGGGAACAGTGCTCCAACCACTGTAAAATTTACCATGATAACTCCAATGACAAGTTGTTAGTGAATACCACCGCTGTCTGGTTACATGGTACTATAGTTACCTGATTTTACCATTGTAAGTGCGTTAGTGAATCCGGGTCCAGGAGGGAGCGGAAAGGATATGGGGAAAGAAGAGGGAATGGGGCACATGGAGAAGGGAACGAGGGCAAGAAGAGGGAATGGGGCAACATGGCGAAGGGAACGAGGGAAAGAAGAGGGAATGGGGCAAATGGAGAAGGAAACGAGGGAAAGAAGAGGGAATGGCGCACATGGAGAAGGGAGCGAGGGAAAGAAGAGGGAATGGGGCACATGGAGAAGGGAACGAGGGAAAGAGAGGGAATGGCGCACACGAAGAAGGGAACGAGGGGAAGAAGAGGGAATGGGGAACATGGAGAAGGGAACGAAAGGAAGAAGAGGGAATGGGGCAATATAGAGAGGGAACGAGAGGAAGAAGAGGGAATGGGGCACATGGAGAAGGGAACGAGAGGAAGAAGAGGGAATGGGGCCATGGAGAAGGGAACGAGGGGAAGAAGAGGGAATGGGGCACATGGAGAAGGGAACGAGGGGAAGAAGAGGGAATGGGGCACATGGAGAAGGGAACGAGAGAAAGAAGAGGGAATGGGGCACATGGAGAAGGGAACGAAAGGAAGAAGAGGGAATGGGGCACATGGAGAAGGGAACGAGGGGGAAGAAGAGGGAATGGGGCACATGGAGAAGGGAACGAGGGAAAGAAGAGGGAATGGGGCACATGGAGAAGGGAACGAGGGGAAGAAGAGGGAATGGGCACATGGAGAGGGAACGAGGGAAAGAAGAGGGAATGGGGCATGAAGAAGGGAACGAGGGAAAGAGAGGGAATGGGAACATGGAGAAGGGAACGAGGGAAAGAAGAGGGAATGGGGCACATGGAGAAGGGAACGAGGGAAAGAAGAGGGAATGGGCACATGGAGAAGGGAACGAGGGGAAGAGGGAATGGGGCACATGGAGAAGGGAACGAGGGAAGAAGAGGGAATGGGGCACATGGGAAGGGAACGAGGGGAAGAAGAGGAATGGGGCACATGGAGAAGGGAACGAGGGGAAGAAGAGGGAATGGGCACATGGAGAAGGGAACGAGGGAAGAAGAGGAATGGGGCACATGGAGAGGGAAGAGGGAAAGAAGAGGGAATGGGGCGGAGAAGGGAACGAGGGAAAGAAGAGGGAATGGGGCACATGGAGAAGGGAACGAGGGGAAGAAGAGGGAATGGGGCACATGGAGAAGGGAACGAGGGGAAGAAGAGGGAATGGGGCACATGGAGAAGGGAACGAGGGGAAGAAGAGGGAATGGGGCACATGAGAAGGGAACGAGGGAAGAAGAGGGAATGGGGCACATGGAGAAGGGAACGGAGAAGGGAAACGAAAGAAGAGGGAATGGGGCACATGGAGAAGGGAACGAGGGGAAGAAGAGGGAATGGGGCACATGGAGAAAGGGAACGAGGGAAAGAAGAGGGAATGGGGACATGGAGAAGGGAACGAGGGAAGAAGAGGGAATGGGGCACATGGAGAGGGAACGAGGGAAAGAAGAGGGAATGGGGCACATGGAGAAGGGAACGAGGGGAAGAAGAGGGAATGGGGCACATGGAGAAGGGAACGAGGGGAAGAAGAGGGAAGGGTGGAGAAGGGAACGAGGGGAAGAAGAGGGAATGGGGCACATGAAGAAGGGAAAGAGGGAAAGAAGAAGGGAATGGGAACATGGAGAAGGGAATGGGGAATGGAGGGGAAGAGGGAAAGAAGAGGGAATGGGGCACATGGAGAAGGGAACGAGGGGAAAGAAGAAAGGGAATGGGGCAACATGGAGAAGGGAACGGGGAAGAAGAGGGAATGGGGAACATGGAGAAGGGAACGAGGGAAAGAAGAGGGAATGGGAACATGGAGAAGGGAACGAGGGAAAGAAGAGGGAATGGGGCACATGAGAAGGGAACGAGGGAAGAAGAGGGAATGGGGCACATGGCGAAGGGAACGAGGGAAAGAAAGGGAATGGGGCACATGGAGAAGGGAACGAGGGAAAGAAGAGGGAATGGGGCACATGGAGAAGGGAACGAGGGAAAGAAGAGGGAATGGGGCACATGGAGAAGGGAACGAGGGAAAGAAGAGGGAATGGGGCACATGGAGAAGGGAACGAGGGAAAAGAAGAGGAAATGGGGCATGGAGAAGGGAACGAGGGAAAGAAAGGGGAATGGGAAGGAACGAGGAAGAAGAGGGAATGGGGCACATGAGAAGGGAACGAGGGGAAGAAGAGGGAATGGGGCACATGGAGAAGGGAACGAGTTGGGCGCACATGGAGAAGGGAACAGGGAAAGAAGAGGGAATGGGGCACATGGAGAAGGGAACGAGGGGAGGAAAGGGAATGGGGCACATGGCGAAGGAACGAGAGAGGTGTGCTGGGAGGGAGTGGAGGGGTAGAGGGGTAGGGGGAACCTGAGGAGAGGAAAATGGACATCGGCGATTCCTCTGGACGTAGAGGGAATAGGAATAGAGATTGGAGCGTGGACGAGAAACCGGAGCGTTCTCTTGGATCATGTTTAGATTGGGATGTCTTCAAGAGTTTCTGGAGGGGAACTGCGGAGGGTGGATCGGGATATCGGAAACCAATAAAATACAAATTAAAAAAATGTGTGAGGGCGACGCCATCTCACCAAAACTGCTTACAACTTGCCTTGAGGAAAGATTCAAGATGAATTGTAACGGAAAGGGTATCTAAATTGTGCCAGGTCCGACCCAACGATTTTCGCATAAAATCGCTGGGTCGGATTACGAGGAGTGGACAATTTTAACAAACCGGCCGCTAGAGTGTAGAGTCAAGGACAATTACACGAATCCATGGAAGCAAAATAGATGGGAGAGAGTCATGGGGTTTGAAAGAAAGGTGTGGAAGGAGAGCGAAGCGTTCTTCTACCTCTCTTATCGCTTATCTCTTATCAGTCGGCGCGACTAATAAGAGCCCGTGCTTAGTTATGGAGAATTATGTCACAAGGTAAAATGTTTTTAATAATATTTAACATTTAATATACAATGGACAGGTATTGAGGTTTGCCAATATACCCTAAAAAAGACAAAGAAAAAATAAGAGGAATATAAAATAAAAAAACAAAAACAAAAAACTACAGACTCCAAACATGAACCAAGATTACAGACACAGTGCATCGTTCATACTAGAAATTGTATCAAGATTACAAAAAATAACTACTTAAAGTTGGACAGAAGCTCATTTGACTGTTACCTCTTAATATTTTGGTCCAGAATTCAACAACAGATAAATCAAATAATTTCTCTGTTTCTCCTAAGACTTTCACATAATACAAATCCTCAAAATACATGAAATGTTTATTTACATAAGAATATTTACCAAGAGTAAAAAAAGATAAGAAATACAAAGTCTCATTTGACTCCTGAAGTGATGTCTGGCTACGTGGCTCCTATCGGTTCACTCTCTCGCCGGCTTCGCTGACAGAAAGGTGGGTCCTCCAACACGCTTACTAATTCTTGAAGCTTACCAGTCAACTCGGAATGATAAATATACATAGCTTGATCAAATATATAATTAAAAAGTCTTGCTCTTTCATTAAAAAAAAAAAAAAAAAAAAAACGGCTACACTCGATAACGACACATTTCTCTTCCTTGTAGATCCGAGGCGTAGGCGGGAGCCCCGAGGAGAGGAGAGGGCGATGGAGGGGGCGAGGATGAGTGTGAAGGATGGTAGTCATTCGGACTTCCTTGTGCAGTCACGTTGGGTAAATTAATGACTTTCAGTCTCTCCTTTTCTGCCGTGGAAGGGTGGATCTGAGAACAGTATAATCACAATGAGATAAAAATGCCTCAGTTTTCGATCAGTCGCGTTTGGTAAATCGTTAACTTTAAATCTCTCCTTTTCTGCCGTTGAAGGGTGGATTTGAGAACAGTATCCCGAAAGTGGTTCACATATGCTTCAGTTTTCGATCAGTCGGTTTGGTAAATTGCTTAACTTGCCGCCTTTTTTCCGTTTGTTGCCATTACGCCGCCGCTATTACGTCATAGTTATACTTGTTCATCATTGCAGTCCAATCCATTGTTGAGGAAGCTAACTACCCAATTTATGAATACAATATGTGATCCTCAGCCATGGCCTGTATCTTATAATTTTTCATCAAGTTCATAGAAGCAATATTTGGTATTCTGCTGTAATTATATGTACTTTTTATTACCATTCAATAAGTATCGTGAATATTACAAATCACTTCTCGTTCTCTTGAGTATATATATGAACATAACCAAATTATCTACATTTTCGCTGTTTTATCTTTGCCATTGTTATGTTCGTATTCGCTACAAAATACTCTCATCATTATCATTATGTTGATTATCCTTACCATGATTATTTCCATTATTTTGCCGTAACGACCGATGCCATTGTTACGGAACACGACCTCTACAGAGTCGACGAAGATACGATTCGGATTTGTGAAGTGTTATCTTAACCGTTAGTGTTCCCTTGTTCATGGCTAATGTTGTCCTAATTATCATTATCATTTGCCACTCTTATTGTTATCATGATTATCATCCCCATAATTATTTCCATTTGTCTGTATCGTGTGTTTCGTGAAAATGCATAAACAAATAATTGTTCGAAATCACCACTATTATCTTAAATATATTCATTTATTTTTAGGATTTCAATAGCTTTCGTAAATGTATATTTTTAGATACTATTGAATTCACATTCTAAAAGCTACATACATGCAGTTGAAATCGGCACATTTCGTTGCGTTTAGATTGGTGACTTTATTTCCAATACGAAAAAATGCATGTCATGACTCTGTAACATTTATTTTGTTGCAAAGAAGATTAAATCACTTGCATTAAGTTTCAACATTTTCGTAGTATTTTCATCTCCCGAAAAGAGCTTAATCACTAATCTTTTTATTTATGAATGTCAAATTTCTATCATTATTTTCTTAATTATCCCAAGTATCACTGTTTTCACCATCATGATCAGTGTTGTTTTTGCCATTATTGTTACCTTGTTATTATTTCAACTTTTCAGCCGAAATGACCAGTGCATTGTTACGAATCACCACTTGCTCTAAACCACAGGGGAAGAACAGCCGATAATCGCCATCTTTATATTCGTCTTTTGGAATACCGAATTTCGTGCATTTTGGAGAAAGACTTCACCACTTGGCATACTGCTCACTGTACATTTCGAGAAAAGCATAAAAAAAAACATTGTATTTAGAAATCATCATTGTTATCTTATCATTGCCATAATAATTTCCATTTTTTTGCCTTAACGACCAATAACATTGTTACGGAACACGACCTGTATCGCGTCGTCGATTTTACTCACTAATCTTTTTATTCGTGAACGCCAAATTTGATTCACTATAAAGAAACGACTTCTACTGGCAAATACTGGTCATCTTATGTTTCGTGAAATGGATGAAAAAAATCGTTATTGTTCGAAATCATCACTATTATGATGAATATTATCATTTATTCTTAGTGTATCAATAGCGTTTCCATTCACGTTAACTGTCTTCTTTTATTTTTTATGCATCATTACTAACAAGCTTATTTTTCAAAAGATACTATTATGAAAAAAATCGCATTTATTGAAATAAACATATCGTTGCAAGTTCTATTGAATTAATGACTTTATTACCACTATGAAAATCTGTCTTTGTAATAATCATTTTGTTGCAAAGAAAACTTGAATAACAACAACCTCTTCATATAGGAAGTCTCTTAATTAAGTTTCACCTTTTTTGTAACAATTAATTTCATCGTTTAAGTAACATTATTTTCACCGTCATTATTGCTTTTATCTTTTTTTTTGTTTTTTTTTGTTACTAAATGCTCTTGTTGCAAAAAAAAAAAAAAAAAATCATATAGACTTCTTCAAGTTATGAGTTCTGTTTCTCGAAAAAACAAAAAAACAAGATGTGCTCAAAAATACATGCCGTTTGCAGGTCGAATGTGCTTGTGCGTCGCTTATTCCAGGCAATAATCCTTTTAGAAGTCTATATTTTTTTATGTTCTCTTTCTCGGTGTTATTACTGCTAATTTCCGTTATGTCATTTTTACTGATTATCATTTATTTTTTTTTTTTTTTTGTATTATTGTTTTCACCTTCAGTATCGGTATTATCTTTGTCATTATTATTTCATGCATTACTAATGTTTTCGTCATTATAATTTTATATTACATCATTATTATCTTGAATTTCATTGTTATCATTTTGTGCTTATGAATGTCAAATTTCAATTACCCCCCCCCCCCCACCAAAAAAAGATAATATAAAATAAATATAAATAAATAGATAAATAAATAAATAATAAATAGATCAATAAAATAATATAATAAATAATTAAATAATAATAAAATAATAAAGTGTTCATATTTTTTTTATTCTCAATATCAAACTTGCATTTCTCATCATCATACTCAATATCATTTTTACTTTCTATTAGATAGGTAACAGTATCCCCAATATGAAAATATGTACACTAAGTCTTTGTAACATTTATTTTGTTGCAAAAAAAGCATATTGACTCCTTCAGTTAGGAGTTTTCTTAATCATTAAGTTCGTTATAATTCAAACCATTTCCGTAGCAATTAACCTCTTTGTTATGAATCACCTCTATCCCAAAATTAGCGTCGTAATTATAATAATTATTATGAATGTCAAATTTCATTCATTACTTTAAAAAAGAAAAGAAAAATATAAGAACACAAATTGCATTCATTAAGAAGTATAGAAGATATATATATATATATATATATATTATATATATATATATATATATAATATATATATATATATATATATATATATATATATATATATATATATATATAAATCTCGTAACGTTTTAAAATTGTTTGAGATTGTTGTTACACTTTATTCACATCTTTATTCTAGGTGTGACTAATTTATTTTTGTTTTATTCTTTTATTGTTATGACTATGAACATTATACCGGCTCTGAGTAATGTTCATTCTCATTGGTCCTTTAAAATTTCTATAAGATCTCGTAAGTTTAATTTTTTTTTTATGAATCCTAACCTACTTCTCCGTTTTTTTGGGAACGTCCCTATTCCTAACCGCCATCTTCGTTGTCTTTTGTACAAACTCATTTATTGAATTCCAACTCCCCATTATGAGATTTAATTCCCCATAGATCTAGTTAGTCTAAGAACGATGTAGGATTTAGCGTTTCTAAGTTTTAAAATATTTCTTTACCCCGTTACCCTTATAATAATTATATCCCATATTGTTGAATTCAAATATGCCTCATAGATTATAGAACACGAATCTATTTTTTTGTTATATGTATCAGAATTAATATGTTTTGATTGATTTATCTTATAAGAAAGACTGTTATCGTAACAATTAAGCTCATTGTTATGAAAGAAGACTATGATGAGACAACAGTTTCGAAATCCAGGAGGGATTACGTGTGTAGAGGGTTTTCTGCAATCGAAAAAAAAAGTTTATGAGTAAAGCATGTTAATTATTTTTACTATGTTATTATCTTTACTATTTCATCATGTCCATGTGATACAGCTAAAAGAGCATGTAATAGTGCCTTATCTCCATTACCACCATTATCATTATGGCCATCATTTATATCTCCATTATCATCATTATCATTGTTATCATCATCATAGCGATAATATCCATCACCAACATTATCATCATTTACTTTCCTTTCTTTGCATTTCATTAAAGCACCAATATCCCTCCGTTCAAAGATAATAACACTGTTCATATTAATATGAGGATTTATGTTGTTTTTCAAATCTTAGTATATATATATATATATATATATATATATATATATATATATATATATATATATATATATATATATATGCTTTTCCTCACCTGATGTATGATGTATGTAAGAAAATGTAAAACGTAAATAGGTTTTTCTATGGTGACTTTTGTTCCTCACTATATATGATATAATGTGGTATGTTATCCTATGTCATGATTATATTTCTTGTAAAATCCTTCTTTGTAAAACTTAAACAGATTGAGGTAGGATAAGAGCCATTAAAACTGACAAGGAATAATTGAATAAATATTGATCTTATTAAGATTATGTTATCATCTTTATCATCTAATGATTGGTTGTAATTTATGTTATATTGCTTCATCGTGTATGAAAAAGTTCTTATTATTCTTATTTTGAAGTATATTTTCACGCATTTAACAATTGCAGTCATAATCTATATCTTATTTATCAACTGTCATCTTAATATAAAACTGTATGATGTATGTATAATGACCATCACTGTCGTTTTTATT